GGAGACTGGGAGAGAGGGAGCCCAGAGTCCTTGGCTGCACCTGCCTGGAGCAGAATGTCCATCTGCTAAGCAGGAAAGGGGAGAGAGGGAGTAGCTTGTGGTTCAAACACCACTAGACTGTCACTGTTCTCATCAAGTTTTAGTAGATTTTCTCGAACGAATGTTTCTTTATTTGCTCTACGCTCTTAGGACCATTTCCAGATACTTTAAATGTGGTTTTAAAAATAAATATCACAGTTTCAAGGAGAAGCAGGTGTGCAAAGCTCCTCGTGATGCCATTCCAGAAGAACTCCCAAAAAGAGTTTTAATGATCTCAGGAAGGGTCTCAAACAGACGAGAAAGGCCTCCGATCTGTCAGGAACAGTCCCAAACAACTCAGGAAGTGTCTCAAACATGTCAGAACAGATTTAATATTTGTCAGGCAGAATTTTAAATAGGCCAGGAAGGGTCTTAAACACAGAGGAGGACTCTAGAATACTTCAGGAATGTGACAAACAAGTCAGGAACAGCCTCAGAGACATTCAGAGGAGTCAGAAATACATGACAAAGAGTTTCAACTGCTTGAAGAAGGGTCTCAGCAACTCAGGAAAGGTCTAAACATGTCAGGAATGGCCTCAGAGTCAGCAAGGGCTTCAAATATGTTGGGACTCAAATATGTGAAAAATGCCTCAAAAAGACAGAAAGAAACTCACACAGCAGGAAGCACCTCAAACCAGTCAAGAAGGATATCAGGATACTTGGAATTTTAAATTTGTCAGTAGGGTTCTCAAACAGATGAAAAGGGTCTCCAATATGCCAGAAAGGTTTTAAATATGTCAGAAAGCGTCTCCAACAAGTAAAAATGAGTTCAAGCAAGTCACAAAGGGTCCCAAATATGTCAGGAAAAGTCTCAATCAGACAGGAAGAGACTCATGCAAAAAGAATTGAATACAAGTCATGGAATGTCTCAAACATTTCAGAAAGAGCCTTACTGTTTGTCAGGTGGTATTTTAATGTATCAGATGGGGTCTCATACAGACAGAAAGAGTCTCATGTCAGTAAGGGTCTCAGAAAAGTCAGGAAAGATTTCAAATATGTCAAGAAGTGTCTCAGTATGTTAAAGAGTCTCAAATATGTCAGAAAGGGTCTCAAACATTTAAAAAAAGGCTCAAATAGTAAGAGTTTCAAATGTGTTTCAGATAACTCAGGAAGGGCCTCAAACATCTCAGAAGCTACTTCACCTACGTAAAAAGGGTCTCAGGCTGGACGCGGTGGCTCACGCCTGTAATCCCAGCATTTTGGGAGGCCGAGGCGGGTGGATCACGTGGTCAAGAGATCGAGACCATCCTGGTCAACATGGTGAAACCCCATCTCTACTAAAAATACAAAAAATTAGCTGGGCATGGTGGCGTGTGCCTGTAATCCCAGCTACTCAGGAGGCTGAGGCAGGAGAATTGCCTGAACCCAGGAGGCGGAGTTTGCGGTGAGCTGAGATCACCCCATTGCACAGCAGCCTGGGTAACAAGAGCGAAACTCCGTCTCAAAAAAATAAAATAAAATAAAATAAAATGGGTCTCAAATACATTAGGTAGTTTCCAAAAAAAGTTGAGAAAGTCCCCAAAGCAGTCAAGAAGAATTTTATTTTTTATTATTTATGTATTTATTTTTCGAGACAGAGTCTCGAAACTCTGTTGCCCAAGCTGGAGTGCAGTGGCATGATCTCAGTACACTGCTACCTCCGCTTCCTGGATTCAAGCTATTCTCCTGTCACAGCCTCCCTAGTAGCTGATATTTCAGGTGCCTGCCACCACACCCAGCTAATTTTTGTATTTTTAGTGGAGACGGGGTTTCTCCATGTTGCTCAGGCTGGTCTCAAACTCCCGACCTCAGGTGATCCACCCACCTCAGCCTCCCAAAGTGCTGGGAATATAGGCGTGAGCCACCCTACCTGGCCTAAGAAAAACTTTAAAGGAATCAATAAGGCTTTCAATTTTTATTTATTTATTTATTTATTTTGAGACAGAGTTTCACTCTTGTCACCCAGGCATCCCGGATTCAAGTGATTCTCCTGCCTCAGCCTCCCGAGTAGCTGGGATTACAGGCACCTGCCACCACGCCCGGCTAATATTTGTATTTTTAGTGGAGACGGGGTTTCTCCATGTTGGTCAGGGTGGTCTCAAACTCCCGACCTCAGGTGATCCACCCGCCATGGCCTCCCAAAGAGCTGGGAATACAGGTATGAGCCACCGCGTCTAGCCAATAAGGCTTTCAAACAGAGGAAGAGTCTCCAATATGTCTGGAGAGTTCTCAAACACATGGAAAAGCATGTCAAGCAAGCCACAACGCTCAAAAATGTGTCCAGAAGAGCCCACAAATAGTCAGAAAAGATCTGACACATTAGGAAGGGTCTCAGCAAACCAGGAAGTGTCTTAAATAAGTCAAGAAGAGTCTCAAATATATCACAAAGGGTCTCCAACTGGATGGAAATGCCTCCAGTACTCAGGAAAGTTCTCAGGTCTGTTAGGAATGGTCTCAACAGCATCAAGTGTCTCACATGCTAGGAAGCATCTCAAACAATTCAGGAAGAGTCTCAAATACATCCGAAATGGTCTCAACTGAACAGGGAGAATTTCAATGTGTCAGGAAGAGGCTTTATCCATCAGGAAGAGTCTCAAACAAGTCATTAAGTATCTCAACCACATCAGGGAGGGTCTCAAATTACTAAGAATCTCAAACAAAAGGAAGAGTCTCGAATAGTCAGAAAAGATCACAAACACATCATAACATTTCTCTGATGAGTCTGGAGAGTTGCCAAGATGACAAGATGTTCTCAAAATGGTCTAGGCGTATCTAGAGTAGTAGAGATGATGATGATGATGATGATGATTATTATTATTATTATTATTATTATTTTGAGACAGAGTTTTGCTCTTGTTGCCCAGGCTGGAGTGCAATGGCATGATCCCAGCTCACCACAACCTCTGCCTCCTGGGTTCAAGTGATTCTCCTGCCTCAGCCTCCCAAGTAGCTGGGATTGCAGGCATGTGCCACCACACCTGGCTAATTTTGTATTTTTAGTAGAGAAAGGGTTTCTCCATGTTGGTCAGGCTGATCTCAAAATCCCGAACTCAGGTGATCTGCCCACCTCGGCCTCCCAAAGTGCTGGGATTACAGGCATGAGCCACCACGCCCAGCTGAGGATATTCTTTAATACACAAGGAAGGTCTCAAACATGTTCCTAACAGTCTTAAGAAGTCAGGACAGGTCTTAAATATGTCAGGAAGTATTTCAAAGTTGAAAGTTATCGGGAAGGTTTTTCTGTAATAAATTTTTTTTAAGTTCCACAGGTTTTTGGAGAACAGGTGGTATTTGGTTACATGAGTAAGTTCTTTAGTGGTGATTTGTCAGATTTGGGTGCACCCATCACCCAAGTAGTGTACACTGAACCCACTTTGCAGTCTTTTATTTCTCATACCCTTCCCACCCTTTCTCCTGAGTCCCCAAAGTTTATTGTTTCATTCTTATGCCTTTGCATCCTCATAGCTTAGCTCCCACTTATAAGTGAGACTATACGATGCTTGGTTTTCCATTCCTGAGTTACTTCACTTAGAATAATAGTCTCTAATCCCACCCAGGTTGCTGCGAGTGCCATTAATTTACTCCGTTTTATAGCTGAGTAGTATTCCATCATATATATATATAATAATTTTTTCATCCACTCATTGATTGATGGGCATTTGGGCTGGTTCCATATTTTTTGCAATTGTGAATTGCTATAAACACACATGTATAAGTATCTTTCATATAATGACTTCTTTTCCTCTGGGTAGATACCCAGTAGTGGAATTGCAGGATCAGATGGTAGTTCCACTTTTATTTCTTTAAGTAATTTCCATACTGTTTTTCATAGGAGTTGTTCTAGTTTACATTCCCAACAGCAGTGTAGAAGTGTTCCCTTTTCACCACATCCATGCCCATATATATATATATATATATATATATATATATATATATATATATTAGCAGAATTTCCCTCTTGTTGCCGAGGCTGGAGTGTAATGGCACGATCTTGGCTCACTGCAGCTTGCACCTCGCAGGTTCAAGCGATTCTCCTGCCTCAGCCTCCTGAGTAGCTGGGATTACAGGCATGTACCACCATGCCCAGCTAATTTTGTATTTTTAGTAGGTTTCTCCATGTTGGTCAGGCTGGTCTCACCTCAGCCTCCCAAAATGAGCCACCATGCCCAGCCATAATTGTTATTAATATATAACTTGCATAGAGTAAAAATTACCACTTGTAAGTGTACAATTCAGTGGTTTCTTGAACATACACAAGTTTGTGCAACCTTCACCACTATCTAACTCCAGGATATTTTCATCACCCTAGAAAGAAACCCCCATGCCCCTTAGCAGTCATTCCCCACTCCTCCCTATTCCCAGTCAGTGTTAACAACTAATCTATTAATACTTTTTGTCTCTACGGATTTGCCTATTCTGGACATTCCGTATAAATGGAATCATACACTATGTGGCCTTTTTTGTCTGGCTCCCTTCTCTTAGTATAATGTTTTCAAGATCCATCTAGGTAGTAACATGTATTAGTACTTCATTCCTTTTTATGGCTGAATAATAATCCATTGTATGGATATACCACATTTTATTTACCCATTTATTAGTTGATGGATGTTTGGATGGTTTCCACTTTTTGGCTATTATTAATACTGCCGCAATGAACATTTGAAAACAAGTTTTTGTGTGAACATGTTTTCATTTCTCTTGGGAAATTCCATCTAGGAGTAGAATTGTTGGGCCATGCAGTAAGGAAGAGTTTTCATCACCTCAGGAAAGGTCACAGATAAAAAAAAGAAGGATCTTGATCATACAGGAAGAATTCAAATACCTCAGGAAGTGTCTCACACATGTCATAAACATTCTCAAAGACAAAGGCAGTGTCTCAAATACATTATAAATAGTATCAAATGACTTGGTAATAGTCTCAAGGTAGTCAGGAAGATTTCAAAATGTCAGTACCTGAGATGAACATCGTAAATATCCCACAAAAGGGTCTCAAAATTAAAGCAACAGTATCAATCAATCAGTAAAGCTCAGCTCATAAATCTGTTAAGAAGAGTCTCGCTTTCCACTCGGCTATTTTCCTGTGCCGGGGCCACAGGGCCGTAGGCAGCCATAGTGCCCAGCTGGAATGGCATGATCTTGAAACCTCACTTCCACAAGGACTGGCAGCGGCACATTCCACGTGGTTTAACTAGCTGGCCCAGAAGATCCTCAGATGTTAAGGCTCAGCAAGCCAAGGTGCACCACATCGTCCCGTGCCCCGCATCTCAGGGGCCCATTCAGCCCATGTGCTCTGCCCCCGCAGTTCGGTACCACACAAAGGTATGCACCGGCCGTGGCTTCAGCCTGAAGGAGCTCAGGGTGGCAGGCATTCACAAGAAGGTGGCCCGGACCGTTGGCATTTCTGTGGATCCAGGGATCCACCGAGTCCACTGAGTTCCTGAAGGCCAATATGCAGCAGCTGAAGGAGGACGGCTCCGAACTCATCCTCTTCCCTAGGAAGCCCTCAGCCCCCACAGAAGGCAGACAGTCTTCTGAAGAGCTGAAACTGGCCACCGAGCTGACAGGACCCGTCACGCCCGTCTGGAATGTCTGTAAGAAGGAGAAAGCTGGAGTCATCACTGAGGAGGAGAAGAGTTTCAAAGCCTTCGCTAGTCTCCACATGGCCAGTGCCAACGCCTGGCTACTCAGCATCCAAGCAAAAAGAGCCAAGGAAGCTGTAGAACAGGATGTTGAAAAGAAAAAAATAAAGCCCTCTTGGGGACATGCAATAAATCAGCAGTCATGCTGGGGGAAAATAAAGAAAGAAAGAAAGAAAGAAAAGAACAGCCTCAAAAAATAACAGAAAGGGTATCAAATAGTTAGGAAAGGTAGCAATGTCAGGAAGTCTCAAATATATCGGGAGTCATCTTCCTCACACAAGAAGAGTCCAAATAGTTCAGATAGGCATCCAACATGGCAGTAGAAGACTCGAATAAGGTAAGGGTGTGAAACTAGGAAAGAAAGGTCTCACATTTGTCAGGCAGAGTTTAAAATATGTCTCTAGCTGGGGTGTGGTGGCTCACGCCTGTAATCCCAGCACTTTGGGAGGCCGAGGTGAGTGGATCACCTGAGGTCAAGAGTTCAAGACCAGCCTGGCCTACAAGGTGAAACCCCGTCTCTATTTAAAATGTGAAAATTAGCTGGGTGTGGTGGTGGGCACCTGCTGTAATCCCAGCTACTCCAGAGGCTGAGGCAGGAGAATCTCTTGAACCTGGGAGACGGAGGTTGCAGTGAGCCAAGATTGTGCCACCGCACTCCAGCCTGGGTGACAGAGCAAGACTCCGTCTCAAAAAAATAATAAATAAATAAAATGTGTCTCTAATAATTCTAACTAGATAGACAAAATTAAGAAGAGTCTCAAATATATTAGGAAGAGTCTCAAAACTATCAAGAAGTGTCTTAAACATGTCAGAAAGGGTCATAAATAGAGAGAAAATGTCTGAAGTCCTCACAAATGATCTCAAACAAATCAGAAACAGTTCCAAAGTAGTCAGGAAGTTTCAAATAGGTCAGCAAGAGTCTGGAATGAAGAGTAACAGTCTCAAATACTCAGGGAAGGTCACAAATACATCAAGAAGTCTTAAGCTTGTCAGGAAGACTCTCAAACAATTAAGTACAGGTTTCAATCTTGTTGGGGAGGATCACAAACAATCAAGACGAGTCTCATGCCAGTCAGAAATGGCTTGGAACGTTCTTCAGGGAGGGCCTCAACATCATCAGGAAGAGTCTCATTATGTCAGAATGTGTTTCAAACATTACAGAGAGTGTCACAAAGAGAGAAGGGTCTATAATGCATTATGAATTCTCTCAAGCCAGACTGGAAGTTTTCTTGAAGTAGTCAGGAAGAGCTTTTAAATTTGTCAGCAAGGGGCCAGGTGTGATGACTCATGCCTGTAATCCCAGCACTTTGGAAGGCTGAGGCGGGTGGATTACTTAAGGTCAAGAGTTCAAGACCAGCCTGACCAACATGGCAAAATGCCATCTCTACTAAAAATACAAAAATTAGGACCAGGCATGGTGGCTCATGCCTGTAATCACAGCACTTTCAGAGGTCAAGGTGGGTGGACCACCTGAGGTCAAGAGTTTGAGACCAACCTGGCCAACATGGTGAAACCTCATCTCTACTAAAAATATATAAATTAGCCAGGCATGATGGTGGGCACCTGTAATCCCAGCTACTCGGGAGGCTGAGACATGAGAATAGTTTGAACCTGGGAGGTGGAGTTTACAGTGAGCTGAGACCACACCATAGCACTCCAGCCTGGGCAACAGAGTGCGACTCCATCTCAAAAAAAAAAAATTAGTCAGGCATGGTGGTGCACACCTGTTGTCCTACCTACTCAGGAGGCTGAAGTATGAAAATCACTTGAACCTGGGAGGCAGAAGTTGCAGTGAGCCAAGATTGCACCACTGCACTCCAGCCTGGTCAACAAAGCAAGACCCTGTCTCAAACAAAAATAAAAATAAAATAAATAAATTTGTCAGCAAGGGATCCAAACATGTAGGAAAGTGTCTCTAGGAAGTTAGAAAAGATCTCTAATATATTAGGAAAAGTCACGAAGGCTCTTAAACCTGTCAGGAAGTGTGTTAAATATGTCACGGCCAGGTGGGGTGGCTCATGCCTATAATCCCAGCACTTTGGGTGGTCGAGATGAGCAGATCTCTTGAGGTCAGGAGTTTGAGACAAGCCTGGACAACATGGCAAGATCCTGTCTCTACAAAAAATACAAAAATTAGCCAGGCATGGTGGTACGTGCTTGTAGTCCCAGCTACTTGGGAGGCTGAGGCAGGAGGATTACCTGAGCCTGGGAGGTTGAGGCTATAGTGAGCTGTGATTGTGCCACTGCATTCCAGCCTGGGCAACAGCAAAAGACCCTGTCTCGAAATTTAAAAATGTTGCAATCGGGCGTGGTGGCTCATGCCTGTAACCCCAGAACTTTGGGAAGCCAAAACAGGCAGGTCATTTGAAATCCGGAGTTCAAGACCAGCCTGGCCAACATGGTGAAACCCTATCTCTACTAAAAATACAAAAATTAGCCGGGTGTGGTGACAAACACCTGTAATCACAGCTACTTGAGAGGCTGGGGAATGAGAATTGCTTGAATCCAGGAAGCAGAGATTGCAGTGAGCCAAAATGGCGGCCACTGCACTCCAACCTGGGCAATAAAGCAAGGCCCAGTCTCAACACAAACAAACAAACAAAAATGTGGCAAAGGTTCTCTAACACATTAAACAGGTCTCAAACACATCAAAAGCAGTCTCAAATATGACAGAAAAGGACTCAAGCTTGTCAGGAAATATCCAGAACAGAGAGAAAGAATTTCATATACTAGCCGGGCGCGGTGGCTCAAGCCTGTAATCCCAGCACTTTGGGAGGCTGAGGCGGGTGGATCATGAGGTCGAGAGATCGAGACCATCCTGGTCAACATGGTGAAACCCCGTCTCTACTAAAAATACAAAAAAATTAGCTGGGCATGGTGGCACGTGCCTGTAATCCCAGCTACTCGGGAGGCTGAGGCAGGAGAATTGCCTGAACCCAGGAGGCGGAGGTTGCGGTGAGCCGAGATTGCGCCATTGCACTCCAGCCTGGGTAACAAGAGCGAAAACTCCGCCTCAAAAAAAAAAAAAAAAAAAAAAAAAGAATTTCATATACATGAGGAAGCATTACAAACAGGTAGGGAGGTTTCTCAAAGAGTTACAAAAGGGTCAGTAAAAGTCTTAAATAGAAATGGAGTGCCCCTGATACAACCTAGCATGTCAGCATGTCAGAAATGATCTCCAGCTGTCAGGAGGGGTCTCAAAAAAAATCAGAAAGAACCTCAAATACATCAGGAAGAGTGGCAAACTATCAGGACGTGTTGCAAACAGAGAGGAAGGGTCACATGCATCAGGAATCTTCTCAAACGAGAAGGCCTCTAAGTAGTCAGGAAGAGTATTAAGTATGCAAATAAAGGGCGCCAAAAGAGAGAAAAAGACCTAAATACCTCAGGAATGCTGTCAAACTTGTCAGGAAAGGTTTCAGGTAAGTTGGGAAAGGTCTTAAGCAAGTCAGAGAGACATTCCTAATAGGGTAGAAAGTCACAAAGTAGTTACGGATGCTTGGCCAGGTGCGGCGGCTCCTGCCTGTAATCCCAGCACTTTGGGAGGCCAAGGTGGGCGAATCACTTGAGGTCAGGAGTTCGTGACCACCCTGGCCAACACAGTGAAACCCCATCTCCACCAAAAATATGAAAAATTAGCCAGGTGTGGGACTTTGGGAGGCCAAGGCTGGTGAATCACCTGAGGTCAGGAGTTCAACACCAGCCTGGCCGACATGGTGAAACCCTGTCTCTATTAAAAATACAAAAATTAGCTGGGCGTGGTGGCAGGCACCTGTGATCCCAGCTACTCAGGAGGCTGAGGCAGGAAAATGAGTTGAACCTGGGAAGCAGAGGTTGCAGTGAGCCCAGACAGTGCCACTGCCCTCCAGCCTGGGCTACAGAGTGAGAAAGGAAGGAAGGAAGAAAGGAAAGAAGGAAGGAAGGAAGGAAGGAAGGAGAAAAGGAAGGTTCTCGAACCATCAAGAATGATTACATAAAGATAAGCAGAGTTTCAAATATGTCACAATGGTCTTGAACAGTCAGGAAATGTCTCAAAGACATCAAGAAAATTCTCAAAGACATCAGAAAGAGTAGCAAACATGTCAGAACAGTCTCAAACATAGGACCAGTCTCAAACAAATTAGGAATGGCCTCAAACATATCACGAAGTATCTCCAACAAGCCAGGACATATCTCAAAACAGAGAGAAAATGTCTCAAATACTTCAGGAACAGTCACATATGTGTCAGGAAGGGTCTCAAATATGTCAAGAAGAGTCATGCATGTCAGAAAAGACTTCAAAAACACCAGAGGAGGGCCCCAAAATCATGGGGAAGTCTCAAATACACTCAAAAGAGTCTCAAACATGACAGGAAGTGCCTTGAACATGACAGGAAGTGTTCCTAAGAGAGAGGAAGAGTCTGGAATCTATTACAAATTCTCTCAAACCAGAATGGAAGGATCTCACAGTAGTCAGGAAGAGCATTACATTTTCCAACAAGGGTCAGTAATGGTCTGATACGGTTTGGCTGTGTCCGCACCCACATCTAGAATTGTAGCTCCCATAATGCTCATGTGCTGTCAGAGGGACCCAGTGGGAGGTAATTGAATCACGAGGGTGGGTCTTTCCCGTGCTGTTCTCTTGATAGTGAATAAGTCTCACAAGATCTGATGGTTTTCAAAGGGGAATTGACTTTGCTCCTCCTTTGTCTTCCACCATGATTGTGAGGGCCCCCCACCAAGCCATGTGGAACTGTGAGTCCATTAAACCTCTTTCCTTCAAAAATTACCTAGTCTCGGGTATGTCTTTGTTAGCAGCATTGAGAACAAACTGATACATGATCTCATATACATCCAGAAAGGTTTTAACATTTCAGCAAGAGACATAAATGAGTTGGCAGGCAACTCAAGCATCAAAAAATGTCTCTAACATGTCACAAAGAGTTAGAAGCCTCAGACAGGCTTAGGAAAGTCTTAAATATGTCATAAACTTCTCAAATATAAGGAGGGTCTCAAACACATCAGAAGGAGTTTAACAAGTTAGGAAGTGTCTGAGTCTTCTCAGGGTTTTATCTAGAAGAGAGACAGGAAAGAACTCTATTTCATCAGCAGTCCTCTCAGACAAGTCTAGAAGGGCTCAAAGTACTCAGCAAGAGCTTTAAATA